AGTTAATGTAAGCTAAATTATTATTTTGCTTAAATTTACACCCTTCTAAGTTGAAAAACATGTTCTTTTGGGATCTGTTTATTAGACAGTAAGGAGAGGTCTCCAATTTCAACCACCACAGTGAAGAAAGCCAAGTAATTCCTACAACATTTTAATTCTAGTCAAAGTTTTTAAAGCTACTTGAGAAAAGGGGCACTAGAATATATATCTCACAAATATATACAGACAATAAATACATATACACACACAAAACACAAATTTTGAATCAGTTTTAGGTTGTTGGGGTCTGCTTTTTTAATAACTACCACAAAAATACACCCAAAAAATTAAACAAGACAGCAGTACATTCTTGAAGCACATGAAAATGCAATCTGATCTTTATGCAAAAAGCACCCTCGTAACATGCAACTCTTTAATTAATGTTGTATTTAATAATACACTGGCTAACAACAATAACAAAGAATGCTTAATGAAGGTTTGTTTCGAACATGACCCTCGTGCCTGGCTCTGTATTCGCCTCTGTACTGCAACCTTAACGATTTTTCTTTTTGCCTTTGACAGCTAGTAACAAGAATCCTGCCTTCAGGACATTTTACAAAATATGTTTATTCTAGTGATGCAATGTTTGCAGTTTTGCTACTGCTGAGGAGCTTCACAAAGAAGAGCTTTCTAAGAAACCATATAAGTAGTCAACAAATCCATGATAGACAAATATATCGCTCAAAGTTCATAATTTTTTTACTTCACCTCAGAACTCAAAGTCTCTCTTCAAACATATACTTCACCTCAGATTCAATGGTTGCTGTTGTTAGCCTCACCACTTGTAATCCTTAAGCATGTGGAAATTTAGCAATTCTTGAAAAATTATTCAGCAATTTAAAATTAATCTTATTTAAAAGTGTATTTTTTTTAAAAATCACTTTTGAAAAACATCCACATTTTTCAATATGTAAATGGTTTTAGAGGTGTGAAGGAAATGTCTTTAATATACAGTGCTGATAAGCAACAGAAACCTGAGTTCAAAAACTTGCTTCCTTAAAAGAAGCAACAGCTGCCACACAGACATAAGTGAGATTTAAGGGAAGGAGGGGGGGGGGGAAGGAAGGAAAAAAAACCACAACCAACCACACCCCCTCCAAGCAGAGAATACCAGAAATCTGCCTCTTGTCTGTGTCATCAATTTAAAAAATTGATTTAATAGAAATAATACAAAAATATTATTCTCCCTTCTTTTTTTT